TCCGCCTTATACCACAGCCCCAGCCATACTTCAGGCAGTCCAAGCGGGCTCATACCTCAGCGACCGCCGACCGATTCTGCGAAAATCAGACGTGTGGCGGGCCCCCGATCGACGTCCTTTTTGCTATCACTGTGGCGAACCTGAGCATGTACAGACAGTGCACTTATCGAGAGCTGGTACTTCGTGGTTTTTCGGCCAACTCCCCTCCTAGGTTCAGCCAGCGGCCTCCGGAAATTGCTGAATACGTTGCCCAGCAGCGCAGATCGCCATCTCGGCATCACTCACGCTCTCCATCAACGCGGCGGTTCTCGCCGAATCATCACACCTATTCAGGCATGGAGCAGGGCTGGTCACCTAGCCTGCGTTGGGAAAACTAGCCTCAGCGACGTTCAGGGGAGAGGCCGCTCAGACTGGTCATGCTCAAGACCCTCTATTGACGCGGACTGAAGATACTGACGATACATCGACAAAGGCATCACCGGCTGTTTGCGGAAGAGTTTCCTTAAATATTCCTGTTCTGCTAGATGGTCGCGAAGTCAGCGCTTTAGTGGAAACTGGTGCAAACTAGCAAAAAACTGGCCGCCCTTCTGAAGAAAGTAACGGCGCCTTGGAACCGAATGCCAATTCGTACAGCTGGCGGGCATATCGTCACGGCACTCGGTATGTGCACGGCAAGATTGCAAGTCCGCAGTTGTACATTCGTTGCCAGTTTGAGCTTTCTCCGGCAGTGTTCTCGAGACCTGATCATTGGCATAGATTTTCTCAAGTAGCGTGGTGCTATAACTGACATTCGACGTCTAGTCACTTTCGCGACCACAAACACCACAACAGCTTACGCGGACCCCAACCACTCCTGAGTCTCTTCGCATCATCGACGACGCTGTCACGTAACCACCCCGTGCAACTTGTTCAGGTGGCGTGGGACGGAGTAATGCACGGTGAAGCAGTCGTGGAAAGCAATCACTCGTTTCTGCTGTCTCAGGGTGTCTTGGTAGCGAGAAGCCTCGTTGACCTTCGTGATGATCACTGCGATGTTTTTATCACAAACTTCAGCTACGAGCACCTGCAACTTTTTCCTGGAACTGTCATCGCCTACGCCGACCCAGTCACAAATGTCACTAAGTGTTTTGCTTCCGAGGCCATAGGCACTGCTGAAGCGCTTTTCTGCAGCGTCGACATCAATCCAACGCTTTCTGAACAAACAAGCAGCGTTTGAGCGAGCTGTAGCTGGTGTTCCACACATGCTTTGCACGTTCTTCAAAGATACGTCAAACACCGATAACGAAACACCGTATTATCACCTACGACGACACGCATCCCATACGGAAGTAGCTTTATCGTGTTTCGCCAACCAAACAGCACGCAATTTGAACGCAGGTCAAGGAAATGCTTCAGGATGGCATGATACAGCCTTCAAGCAGCCCTTGGTCATCATCAGTCGTTCTTGTGAAAAAGAAAGATAGCACGCTCTGCTTTTGTGCCGACTACAGGAAGTTGAACAATGTCACAAAGAAAGACATGTACCCATTGCCCAGAGTCGACGATTTTCTGGGCAAGCTGCGGCGCGCGATGTATTTTTCGTCCGTCTACTTGAAGAGCGGTTATTGGCAAATATAGGTCGATGAACGGGACCGGGAAAAGACCGCTTTTGTAATGCCGGATGGCCTTTATGAATTCAAAGTGCTCCCTTTCGGCCTTTGTTCCGCTCCAGCCACATTCCAGCAAATGATGTACACCGTTCTGGCAGACCTCAAGTGGAAAAGCTGTCTCTTCTACCTCGATGATGTCATTGTGTTTTCAGAAACATTTGACAAGCATCTTCGTCGCCTTTTAAATGTGCTCGAAGCCATTAGATCAGCCGATCTCACACTCAAGCCTGAGAAATGTCCTTCCGGCTACGAAGAACTAAAGTTTCTTTGTCACGTCGTGAGCGCCATTGGTGTTTGGCCTGATCCTGACAAAACTGCTGCCGTCGCCGCTTTTCTAGCTCCAACTGACAAGAAAAGTCTTCGACGATTTCTGGGTCTGTGCGCATATTACCAGCACTTTATAGAAAATTTCTCCTACATGCGGAGCCACTGTTACGTCTCACGCGTGATGACACACCAGTTGTCTGGGCTGACGAACAGCAGACTGCCTTTGCGAAACTAGAGCACCGGCTCTCTTCCCCTACCGTGCTCTGCCACTTTGATGAAGATGCCGACACAGAAGTACGCACTGATGCCAGCAATATTGGTCTTGGAGATATTTTGGTACAAAGACAAGACGGCATTGAACGGGTAATAGTCTACACAAGTCACACACTCTCTTGCACAGAATCTAACTACTTTACATCAGAGAAAGAATGTCTCGCAGGTCATTTGGGCAATTACAAAGTTTAGGCCATATCTCTATGGAAGACCATTTAAAGTTGTGACTGACCATCATGTTTTGTGCTGGTTGACCAATCTACGAGACCCTTCAGGATGATTAGCACGATGGAGTCTGCGCCTACAGGAATTTGATGTCACCATCGTGTACAAGTCAGGCAAAAAGCACGAAGATGTCGACACGCTATCACGAGCACCTCTTCAATCCGCCAGTACAAGTGCAGAAGAGGACGACGCCTTCGTGGCAAGAGGACGACGCCTTCGTGCTGGTGACAGATCTCATCTTCTCGTCGTGCCTGAAGCCCTCCACGATGATGTCTTATTAGCTTGCTACGGCGAGCCCACATCCGGCCATCTGGGCTACTAGAGAACTATGGATCGGGTGCAACAACTCTACTACGGGCCTAAAATGTCTGCCTGTGTCAAACGCTACGTGAAGGCATGCCGTGAATGTTAGCGTCACAAGACACCACCCTTAAAGCCTGCACGCTATCTATAACCGATTGATCCACCACGTACAACGTTTTATCAAGTGGGAATGGACCTCCTAGGCCCGTTTCCTCTTCTTCCGGCAACAAATGGATTATTGTCGCAACCGATTACTTGACACGTTACGCTGAGATGAAGACGTTGCCACGAGGGACCGCATCTGAAGTTGCCAGTTTCTTTATTCATCAAATTGTGCTACGGCATGGCGCCTCGTCATATGTCATCACTGATTGAGGGACATCATTCACAGCGAAGCTGTTGGATGATATCTTCAGGTTGAGTTACACAACCCATCGAAAAACCACTGCGTATCACCCTCAGAGTAATGGTTTAACAGAAAGACTAAACAAAATGCTAGTCGACATGATCTCTATGTATGTGGATGTGCAGCACAAAACGTGGGACGACATCCTGCCGTACGTAACATTTGCGTATAACACTGCAACGCAGGAAACAACACGCTTCACGCCACTCCGACTCGTTTATGGTCGAGATGTCAGAACTATGCTAGACGCCATGATTCCGAATGAGGACATCGACAAGCTCGACCAATTAGCCCCCGACATCAATGAGTACATTAAGCGCGCTAAGGAAGCACGTCAACTGGCCCGTGTGCACATCTGAACTCAACAGTGCGCAGATGCACGGCGGTAAAACATCCACCATCGAGAAGTTAATTATGAACCTGGTGACCAAGTTTGAATTTGGACACCCATTGGGCGGCAAGGTCTCAGTGAGAAACTCTTGAGGAAGTACTTTGGACCTTACAAAGTACTCAGACGTGGGCGACGTGAACTACAAAGTGGTTCCAGACGAAGGCTCACCATCATCCGAGCACACGTTACCACGCCCAGAGACTGTACACGTAGTCCGCCTAAAACCATACTTTACACGGTGATGTGAATTTTCTTTGTGTGCCAGTGAACTCTTCATAAGAACAGTGAATGTCGTTTATTTCCGATTGGCGGACCCAGGACGCATTTTCTCTTGTGCACTACTTTGTTTAATGTTTGTTTATTTTGCCTACTTCGACCCATTGCTGTGCACACTTTTGTTTGAGCATCGGGTCAATGGTCTCTTGGGAGGAGGAGTAATGCCACCTGGTGTTCTGTGCCAGTAAACAGTGAGCCAGTTCTGTGCCGGTGAACGAAGACGAAGACGAGCAACCCATGCCAGAGGAGACGTCTTTCTTTGGGTCTGAGTATTTGACAGTCGTGTATCCTTGTACGTTTCTTTGAGCTCCTAGCACATGACAATATATATATATTTTGGAGCATGTAGGAAGCATTTTGGGGCATGTAGAAGGCTGATGCGCATTTGGCTCTCTTTGAATGCAATATAATTATTTTTATTTGTAAGGAATTGTGCAGACCCCCGCAGGTGCTGCCAACATCATGTAACATTTGAGAAAACAGTGGCAATTCTACCTTGAAGGCACAGAATCTTGCACAAAGCGACCGTGCGCTTTTGACTGACATCTCCAACTGGATGGCCGATGAATCAGCCGTGGGACAATGCGAAACGCAGCAGATCACGCGCAGAGTTGTAAAAGGCACGAGGTTATTTTTCACACTCCAATCACCATATACTGCAGCATTCTCCTCGTGAGAACTCTGATGAACCGGTGAACAATATGTCCTATATACGTAGTCATTTTTTGAAACAGAAATATCTATTTTAGAAAAGTGACAACATTCTTTCAGCAGGTTTACTTTCTTAACTGTGGAGGTGATCAGATGTTGCACTTTGGTTATGTCGGTGCCAGGGAATCTCCTGCCTTTTGAAGTTGTGCCCAACTATATAAGCAGAATCACCAGCTCTGCTTTCTTTTCAAGCTTTTTCAGGCTTACCAAGTATCTTCTCAAGGTAAGAGTGGAGCTTGTCATACTGCGCAAGAGTAGCTTACTAAATACTAGGGAGATAAATTTTCTGTTCAGTGCTGCTTTTAATCATATTAATTCATGCTGGACTTCCCACTGTGCCAAGACGAGCACAATATCTGGTGCTCGAGAGTCTGAGAGGCAACAACTACATACGTTGCACTGCAAACTACATACATAGCAACACGCACAATCATGAATTATGACTTTTGTTGAAAAGAGAAGAGCGAGAAAAGGGGGATGACAATGTTCAAGGTCGTACTTGGTTGATGGCCGCCAGGTGAGGGGCAGGCGGAGTCGGAATGCCCGGTCGAGCACCCTGGTTCTGGAACGGCAGCTGTGGCTGCTGGGGGGAGCCGCCCATTGTGCTTATGGGCGACGCTGTTGGTGCCAGGCAACGAGAGAACATGGCAAGCAATGAGAACCAGTGGCAGCTTTTGGCCACCCAACTAATCATAGAAATTTTAAAATAAACGAGAGCTGAGCTAGTTGGTAGGTACTCCCAGAGTTTCGCATAAGAAACATCGTGAGAGTAGAAAAACCATCGTAAAACCAACGGTCAACTCTTTCGAAGTTTCATACAAGTACACTAGAGTAAAATCTGGCACTAGTGGCCACGGCAGCTGGAAAGTACGGCACTTCAGCCAGCACAAGAATGACAAGCATATAAGGATTTGTCTAATATTCGTCCTTTCAGCTCAATTTGGCTTCATGGGCCGAAATCCGCTTTGTCGCAAGACAAAGTTCAGCAAGCGTTCAGTAGTTACACTTTCCCCACTTTGACCTTGGCAGGCTCACCAATTAAAATCGGCTCACAAATCTTACAATGGTCTGTTCTTTTATTTGAAACCAAACCAAAATACTGCAATAAACACAGCTTCAAGTGTATTCGAAGCCTGCAAGCACGAAGATAAGGCAAATCTGTGAACTACCCATCTTTTTCATGGTGGCTGAGTAATCACAGCACTAGTGTCCCCTCTAGTTAACGTAAGAAAACTCTATGAGTACTCCCATCAGAGTACCCCCTAGAGTAATCATAGGAAATATCTGCCGACAGAAAATCTTTGACAGCCTGTGAAGACATTGTGAATTGCAAAAAACTCAATACAACAGATAGTTGGACCATGTCTAACCCTATTTTGTGCTCTGTCATTTTTAGCAGTGAATAATAGTCAATCAAGCACCAATGAGGCCCGCCAAATGCTCTGCTCATGCACATTAAATGCGGTGAATCACGTTCCTGTGCTGATTTGCATCACTTGGTGTCTATGTGCAGTGTAGACCACTTATAATGTAAAGGCTTATAGTGCAGAACCCATTACAATAGAGTCTGTTTTGACTCCCATTCGCCTTCCTGTAGAACCCCATGTATATGCATACCACTTATTGTGCAGTCCCCCAAGATGAGAAACCGGTTATAAAGCGGTTATCGGAAAATTTTTGTGACAATCGCGGTGGCAAGTGCGCCTTTGAAAGGCGGCGCGTTGTTGTGCGGGTGGCGAGGTCATTACGGAGGAGGGAACGCGGAGTGATTGAACAAAGGGCAAGGGGAAGAAAAGGAAAAGAAAAAAAAAGGCCGCGGCATGCTGCAAGGGCTCGCCGAAGCCAGTTGCCTCGGCAACGAATGAGCCTTCACGTTGACGCGGATTAGCGCCGCTAGTGTGGGCCTGCCTGCGCGTGGCTCAACATGGCACGTGTGATCCCGTCTTTATCAACTGCGCTTAACAGGTCCCTGTCGCGAACAGTTCCCTGTCGTTAACAGTTCCCTGTCGAAAAGCGTAGTCGTTATCATGCTTGCTACAGATGTCGCATTTGCTAATCCATAAATTTAAAACCCTTTATGGATTCTTGAGGCGAGTGCTTCCAGTGCGCCGTCTTACGTCAGCTTGGCAGGTTTTCATTCTTGAGCTCATGGTTTGGCCACGAACAAAAATTTCGCATCGCTCATGCTGTTCTTGGTTTAGTGCTTGAATGCATTCTTTTTGACACCAGATCTTCATGTCTTGGACACCAGATCTTCATGTCTTGAACAAACTTCCCGCGACAACATACCAAATGGCAGACTAGGCCTAATTGGCATTGGTTGTGTTTCGGTATAGGGGTTGCGTGCAATCTAAGTTGCGGTTTGGTGCGGGATCAATGAAACTCTTTGCAATGGCTGCACTTGACAAGAAGGGGCACATATCATTAATGAAAACGAGCGTAGCACGTGTAGCACTGGTATGGTGGTTCACAATTTAAAGCGACGTCTTTAAATCGTTGTGTGCCTGTGATATAGAACGATTGGCATCTTTCAGAGTGTGAAATTCCGGACGTGATTGGACACTGTGTAATTTGCACAGTCGAGGTGGTTCGAGAAGCAGTCAGTGAACTTCCGTGTTGGTGGTTTCTCTTGTTAGACCCCCCTTTTCTTCGTTCATTCCATTGGCAACGCGTGTCTTTATTCGTTAAATTTCTTTTTAACATTAGAATATTGAAAAGGTTGTAAGCACCATGCATCGCGTGCTTCGATTCTCGCACTCGCGAGGCTTTGCTCAACACATTCTGCGCAGTTGCAGCCCTTGAAAAAGGTCATTTTGGTTATAGTGCTGTACTGCTTACAGTGAGGATATTCGCGACTCCTGCGCCTTACGTTATAAGAAGTCTGTATGGTACTTCGATTTGCCAATTGCTTTGTCATTGCATTGCCAAAGGCTAACCTCTTGGTTAGCTGAAGTGGTAGAGTGATTATCTTCTAAGTTGGTCCTTGGTTCAAACGTTGAGCAGGAACAAATTTTTTTTTAATTGACTAGAAAGCTTCTCCTTCTGCGAATCGCATATATCTTGTAGCTTCATGATGCAACCTCTGCTTGACGTTATTTCTCCACTTTTCCTCTTCACCGTTTCCCACTGGATATATAAACTAGCAATATTTCACACTATTAATAAAATACACACAAGTAATCTTGCCTTACATATGTTTGGTAGTAGAGCACCTGTATTTTCAAATACTTTATTTCACAATCGATTTTTGTGATGTCGTGAGTGTGTCTTGCCAGCAAAGATCTGGTGGCCTAACAGGTGGGTCTGGATTAGGCTTGTGTGAATACATGTCCACTTCAAATATTTCGACGAATATTACAGTATTCAAACTCACTTATATTTAAATGCAAGTTAATGAAAATTTCAAGGTATTCCAGATGAATCAATAAACTTATATTAGTCCACATGAAACCTTCTCTAAAAATGGTGGTTTCATTGCACTGACGAGGTGCTATACCGTGAATACTCCTTAAAAAAAAGCACGTTGCCACGAAGTTCCTTTCCCAGGTTAAATGAACATAATACCCTCACACTGATGGATCATTTTTTAAATTTAAGAAATTGTTACATGGGCTTTATATGATCGAGGTACAGTATATCTTAAAATATAACATATTTTACAGGTTATCCCTCGCATTCTACTGGAAGCCAAATTCTGCTACTACCCTTCGAACCAATAGCAATGACATCTGCACATGGCTTGTTTCAATTATAAAAAATTGTGCAGCTTAGCTGGGCCATGACAAATAGGCCCATTTTTCTTAATAGCAAGTGACATATAATTCAAATTCGATTTGAAGTTATTCGACCAAGTCGCTCCCAGCTCCAAAGCTAAAATTGACTGTTCGCATAAGCGCAGTCTAAACCCTTGAAGAAATTAAATTTACAATAATTAAACTAATTGGGCACACTGTGTTACTGACAGAAAACAATAACTGAGCTGAAGCTTGTTTTTTCCTCCCCTTAGAGGATCCTACATCCTACAATATTCTGATGCTAATGTGATAGGCTGGGGGGGGGGATGCCTGTACAAGTTTGGATAAGTGGTGGGTAACTGGCTGAGTGCACAATCAAGGTGGACATGCGGCCTCTTAAAGACTTCGACTAAATGCACAGGTTGATGCTGCAGTTTGGTACAAGACAGCCGACACACAAAATCCGCACTAACCTTGCGAGGTGGGCTGCTTGAACATCTTGGCCTCGCGAGGGTTCGGTGGCGAACCACCGGCAGGCCGCTTCTGCCCAACACCGGCTGGCGTCGTCGCAGGGCTGCGGGGATTGTGAGGTGCCACGGCCGACGGGGATGGCGTCGGCTCCACCTTCACTTCTGACACCGCGATGGGGGGACTCACCGGTCGTTCTGTGCACAAGACAAACGAGAAAACACTTTGAAAATGCAATAAATTGCTGAAATCCACACTTCATCAGGGAGAAAAAGTAGGTGAGCCGGGAATTCGCATTCGTTCTTGCAGTAAATATACAAGGATGGCAGACCAAGAAGCTAAGAGGAGCAGATGAGAAACAATAATGTGCAATAATGTGCAATTATGTGAGAAACAATAATAATGCACCCACCACTGAAGTTGAATAGTGCACAATGTCTTGATTTATGTATTCCATTAATGAAGAGAGTGGTGACTTTTTCACCGACCATGTTTTCACTGATTCTGCATGGTTATGAAACAGTTTCGACAGCTTTGGTCAAAACCGGCAGCCTTCGGGCATTATGAGTTTTCTCGAATATAACCAGCTCCTGTATATAATGCGCGACCCTGTCTTCAACTTATATATATAAAAAAAAGACATGCACATAACGCCTGCATATAAAATACACCATACACCCACAGTTTTTACGCATATAATTTGTTTTTGATTTTGATGGGCGTTATATGCGAGAAAATATGGTATTACACCTTGCACATCACAATCATATTGCTCAACTACCGTATTTACTCGTGTAATGAACTCACTTTTTTCTCGCACAATCAGAGCAAAGTTCGGGGTGCGTTTATTATGCGGGGCAAATTATATGAAAACTTTTTCAGGAGAAGCAAGAAATGTGGTAATGCAAGAAAACTTCGGTCGCTTAGCCTTTCACCATTGGCCTAAGCGTACACTGTTTGGAAATGACTTCATTGTTGCACTTCACTTATGTTCCGTGGTTGATGGCGCTACCTTCTATAAACTGTCCACGCGCTATAAAAGCGCTTGGCTATCTTTTCTCGCAATCATTTAACCGCAACAGTGGTATCTGCTGTGATCTCGAGGGGCACCCAGAAGCGTGCGCTACGACCCACTTTGCCAACATCGCAGCAACCTCGCACGATGACTGCGACAATGTCGTTGGCATTATAGCAAGTAACCAACTTTACAGGAAGCCACCACCAAAGCATCAAAACAAACCGTTGGTAACAAGATTGCCGACAAAATATGGCCGCCGCCTCGATTTTGACATGAGAAGTTGCTGTAGGAAAGGTAACCTATATCTTGTATTCCTTGCAGTACGCGTGGATAACAAGCACGAAGCACAAATTGCAACCGAAGCGAGAATCAGAGGTGCTACCATTTCGCAGAAATAGTCACGATCTTTTCTGGGCGACAAGCAATTTTTTTTTTAGTTTTCCATAAACCTGCAATGCGACGGCGACGAATGGCCCTTCGCGACAGCCATGGCGACAGCAAATTTTCGTCATCACTCGAAAATTGCATGCATGTGTTAGGGCCTGAAGGTTTCGTATTTGCAGGAAGCGACCGTTGTGCATGCGCTTCTTTTTAGGCTACTCAACTCCGCCTGCAACTGGCGCCGCCGCCTCAATAAATAACCTTAGCTTGCACGGGGCCCGCCGCCGCTGTCAGCTGTTTTCGCTCTGGAAAAGCATAATCAAAGCCGGGTCAAAGTGTCAAGTTTTATTTCGTCGAAGGTGGTGCTTGCAATTTCATGCTACGATGATTTTAATGCTGCGCCCTGACTACTTCTATTATTCCTCGTTTAAAAATGTGCGCTTGAGATCGATTGCTCATGGGAAGTTTGACGATTCCTTTTAACTGTGCCACTCTGCGGTTCACGATGTGTCTGACTAACACCACGTGAGAGATGGTTGCACGAACAAAACACAGATTCGGTAGAGTGCAAACCAAAGCACAACAGTATTGATCAGCACATACCGCGAATTGGCCGCTTTGTCTTGCACACAGCGGTCAAATTCCACTAATCGCGAAATCAATAAGACACTGGTTGGGATACCATATAATTATAAAAGCCCGATGACTAGAAAGTGCGAACATTGAACATTGCTATTTACTTGCAACTAGCACTGCTAGCGCTCTTTACAGGTGCGATGTTCGTGGAGTCTTTCTTATGGCACCGGCGTTTGCTGCTCGGGCACCGTCGTCTGCTGCCGTTGACAGACTTACAGGGTGGATCCACCTGGATCGACGCTGCATCCCGCTTGCATCATGCCTTGCGGCTCACTATTTTGCCGAAATGTAAACATCGTGGGCTCTACACACGAATCTGATAAACTACCGACTTCGCTGCACTGTCCATTTCCGCTGTACTAGCTGTGTACCACACGAACACGCCGCTTTTAACCACGTTACTTCTAGCGCAATGTGGAAAACAAGAAAAAGGACAGATCATCAAGAGAACAAGCAGCTCCTCTGTCCTTTATCACATCTCCACCACTGCAACAAAGTAACATGTTCAGCACCCTTACCAACTGACCTAAGAGCAAGTTCTAGGCGCTGCCAAGCTGTTTGTCAAAATGCGGCGGCGCTCACTATCTTGCTAAATGCAAAAACACAAAATATTGCGTTGTCTATTTAGCTTTGTTGTCAGGAGAAGGCGCTACAATCTACTCACTTCCGCCATTTCGGCCAATGCCGTGTTCGAATTTTGATACATGGAGCCTATGGGAAGTTTCGCAACTCGTATGATTGAATAACTCTGATTATCATCATTATGGTTAGTACGGTAGCGCCAGCAGTGACGCCTGGTGGTGGCTGGCTGACGGCACATCAGACATAAGTGGTGCTCTTTTGGCGCAAACGGTTGTCTCTTGCAGTGAATCCGTGGCAAAAGGCACCGCATGATGTCTGTCGTGGGCCCTCGTGGTGAGTCGAGTGTTGGTGACGCTGCCTTCACGCTGCCTTGTTTGTGTTACTTATGTTGTTGAGTGTTGTGGAATATTGTGTAAGGCTGCTTTAGCGTGTTGGTCACTTGTGATGTATTTTGATTCAGCACACGATATTGCCGTGAACGTAATTAGATAAATGTGTTGTTGTTTGGCTGGGTCCGACTGAGTCTACTGTGTTTATGTGTTCTGAGAGCGGCTCTCATTTTGAGACCCCACACTGGCTGCCCAACGTGGGGCTCTCGGAGCATCGGACAACAGTTCTCACGATTCGGAACCACGTTTTGTTTTGAGCCGAGGTAGAGTAGGCCTAGGGTGACTTCCATTGCTAGAGTCGGCGGTGCGCTTGGTTGAGAGCGAGGAGATCGGTTACGGTGGCTTGTTTGAACTTGTCAAAACATTGAGTTCTTTACTTTTCGGCTCCCAAGTGGTTTGTACTGTTTTTTTTTAAAGAACATGGTTTGAGTTGGTGGTACAAGAGCCGTGTAACGGTAAGCAAAGCTTACAGTCCGTGGATTGTAGGCCAAGCCCGAAGCGAGTGAGTACAGAAGCCTCGTAGGTGGTCGGAGTTTCTGTAAATAGCTTCATCTATCTCTTTGGCTCAGGGAATCGAGCGTCGTTGCTGTCTTGTCTTGCGGCTCGACGCCGGGTCGTCGTGACACCGTCCAGGATGGTGGGCCCCGATCGCTCGGTAAGCTGCTGAGTGTGGCGAGCGGTGAGTAGGGCCACATTACAGAGTGGATGTCTCTTTGCCACTGCCTCTTCTGCGCCTAGGCTTGGTGGATGCCAGTTGTCGAGCGACTCATTAGACCTCAGGCTCTGCAAAGCTGCCGGTCGCACGTGGCACAACTAGGTGCATCGTGGCGTTAAGGTGTTGCACTCTGCTTTCCTCACTTTTTCTTTTATCTTGCGATGCACGAGCCTTTGGGAACGAACTTCCCTGTTTCTGGTTGGATAATGATGAAAATTAGCACATACACCAAGAATGACTTCACAGTGCTTGCATGAAAATTTCCAGGCAATACCACAAAGACTTAATGAGAGACACATTCATTGAGCCTCGTGGAGGCGCTGGAGGATTCATAAAATTACAAATATAGTTGGTAATTACAGTACGCACAGCCAAATGCACGCTGCAGGGGGCTGCATTTTCAGAATAATTTTTTTGCAACATTAAAACTTGTAGTTAACGTTTTCTCAGTGATCCCACTGGAGAGTGCCGATTAGGAGCAATTTTCGGAGCAGTGAAATTTTAGTTTTGGAGCACTTCGGAGTAGTAAAATTTTAGTTTTGGAGCATTTTGGAGCAAATGATCTTGCAATTAATTAAGAGCATCTTGAAGCACTGAAATTTGAGTTTTGGAGCATTGTGGAACATGTTATTTTGCCATTAGAAGCATTTGAAGCAGTAAAATTTTAGTTTTTGTGCATTTTGGAACAAGTAATCATGCTATTAGAAGCATTTTACAGCAGTAAAATTTTAGTTTTGGAACAGGTAATCTTACTTCAAAGAGCGCTTCAGAGAAAAAAGTACCTCAAACACTTTAATATTAAATGGACGCTGACCTAGAACAAAGGATCCTTTAAGATTGAAAAAGGCTTCGAGAACTTTCACATTGTTCTTTTGACCATCTCAGATTTATTAATTGGGAAAAAAGTATCGATAAAATATTTATTTCTTAATTTCGCACTAAAATCTCTGCACGTGATATCACGAATTTCAATGTGTATTCTTTTAGCAACATTCACTTAAGCGAGCCGCATGCGGCCGGCGGGCCACACATTGCGGACACCTGAGATGGACGGTTTGGCACAAAATTTTATCAGGTTGGCGCAGCAAATCTCGTTTGGTGCACTTTGGCACAGTTGGCGCAGAAGTGGAATACCCGTTTTCTTCAGCGACACTGCAATGAGCACACTTGCACTACAAACAAAAAACCCGACGAAAAATTCTTTAGGTAGTAAAATGAAAAACCAAGATCGCAGCCCGCGAAAGAACACGGATTTCTAATCAAGTTCTCTGTATGAAGGAATGGTGTGATAGGTATGACAGAAAAGACTGTTCTTGAATAAGGCCATATACTGAATTGATGACACATATTTCTTGTGTTAAAGCTTTCATTAGCATAATTAAGTACTTCTTGATTACAGATAATCACTGAACATGCTTTATATAGAGACAGGTTTATTGCATCAGAAAAATGGCTAACACCATGACAGCCTATGCCTTCTTTCCAAATAACGAACAGTTATGGGCAGGAAACTGGTGGAGCAGAAATTTTTTAGCAGTTTATTTAATTACACCAGTCAGGCATATGAAAATTCATGGCCCTGCTTCATACTTGCTCTTCGGCTAGTCTAGCTGTGAAACGCATTATCACACGGCTGGTGGCGGAAACTCTAATCTACGAGGCTTTCACTATTTCAGAACATTCATAGCTGCTCGCGGCGATACCAAGCATGACTTCAAGCACGTCTAAATCGCATCATAAAAGCTTCTTGACAGCAATCCATATAACTATGAAGTGCGCAGCCGCAAGGACAGTGCAGCAGCGTGTGATGCACTTGGCAGCGATGTTCGGTGACGATCGCGAAATGTATAGCTACGATGACAAAATAACAGTGGGCACTGCGCTTGGTATCGCATTTATGAGTGCCGACGCGTAAAACTGCTAGCCACTTTTCTGAGTAGTCCTTGGCAGTAGAGGGGGTGGGGGGTGGGGTTTGATGAGTTTGACTGTGGGGTTCGCTGCCGATGCGTAAAATGCTCGTCCGCAATTTCGAGGCCCTAGCAAATGACATGCTTCGTTGCTTGCAAAGAAGCACGTTGGCCCAAGTGCGCTAGCGCCTCCTTCTTGCCCACAAAGTTCGTCTCGCTGTGAGCGGAGTTGGGCCTAAAGGCGTGCCGCGTTAGTAGATCGCATGTGCGCTTGTAGTAATCTGATTGAGCATCCGCTTACAGCTTCTATCTAAGGCGTACTTATATCCTAAATGATCGTCGAGCTGTAAACACGTCACGAAGTAGCGATTTTCGACAGCCATGTCGTTGCAATGCACAAGCAGTAGACAACGATCTTCCGGAGCGAGCATCAGACCAATGGCGAGGAGAGCTGGGGCCACAGCCAATCAGAGACCTCGAAACTACCTCTAAACATTTGCTTTTTGTGTGCTTGTTTTTAAAGGGAGAAGCCAGCTGAGGTGGAAAATTTGGACGCGGAAGAGTGCTCTTTCCGATGAGCCCAAGAAGACAGCTCCCGGACGCGCCAACGCAAAGCTATAATTTTTTGAAATATCGCTGTTTTCTCGTGATTTATCGAAATATTTTGGCTACCTAGGAGGGCGAAACGAATTTTTCGAAGCAGTTTTACGTGGTTTTCAGTTTAGATATTTTAGAATCAGATAGAAAAAGGGTCTACTGAGAACTTGATTTTCAAAAAATCGATTTGTTCGCCATTTATTTTTTTGCGATATGAAAGCCACGTTCCCCATTAAAAAAATTGACCTTTGTTTTATTTGAGCTGGGCGTCTCGGTCGCCACCAATGCATCTGCCAGCAGTACTAACCATAGTACCACGTGGGCAAGGAGCCTGAAGCTCCCTTCCTTTTGCCCTATACTGCACCGTTCTGTCTAGTGTTTTCAGTGTATGCAGTAGGAGTGATGTAACCCGTGGCTGGCTTTCTTCTGCGCATCATTTTCGCTGTTGGTCACGAATGTGGTAATGAGATCAGGGGATGGACATGCCTGGGACCTGCGCAACTGCCTGCCCTCCGGTGCTCTCGTGAGTGCTAGTTGCATCCAGAAGATGTGGCGGCGCGAGTGACGGTTTCGTGCGTTGACGGCAACATTGCCATTGCAGGACCGGTACTGAGGTGAAGTCGTCGAGCCGGATAGTGCAGCAGTGTCCACCGGCAGTGTTGTCATGGTGCATGGACATTATTTGGGACATGTGTTGTCATCTCTTCCTAAAGCTTGTGTAGCTGATTTCATCGATGTTTCTTTTTTATTTTTTTTTGGACATGGTTTGAATGAAGGTTCAAGGATGTGGGGGTGCTAAAGCTCCCTGTATAGTCGTTTGCACGGCGCACACGTGGTTTGCGCATAGGCCGCGGTTGGGGCTCACAACCATCGAGCAGTAGTTGGTGTTGTGCTTACGAGCGTTCATTACCATTATCATTATCATAGTGAGCGCGGTAGCGCCAGTAGTGACACCTGGCAGACATACTGGCTGTCGGTACAGGAGACATGAGCGGTGCTTTTTCTTTCGCGTGGCAGTTGGTGCGAACGGTTGTCTCTTGCGATGGGTCTGCTGTGGATGGCACTGCGGGTCGTCTGTCGTGGCTCTCGTGGCGAGTTGAGCGTTGGCGACGCTGCCTTTGCGCTACCTTGTTTGTGTTTCTGATGTTGTTGAGTGTTGTGAGATATTGTGTAAGGCTGTTTTTGCCTGTTGGTCACTAATGTATTTTGATTCGGCTGATGCTATCATCGTTGCAAAAGTAATTGAAAAAATGTGTTGTCATTCAGTTGGTTCCAACTGCGTCTCCTCTGTCCGTTTGTTCCAAGAGCGTGGCGTATCATGTTTAGACTCCACAAAAAACACAATACATGTGCTGTCATTGCACTCACCTTGAAGCTGATAGCCACGCAAAAGCACCATGTGTCTTCGGTCCTTAGCATAGTTCTTGCACATCGCCGTTTGGAGGTCCCCGCCAGCCTGCAAAGCAACGAATGCTCTTCACTGTACAGAGACCACTATACGAAATGGCAGACTTCACACGTCAGTGTCCTTGGGAAAAAATTTGTGGCAAGTTTCTCCAAGGAAACTGTAGAATGAAGCGTATTTTAAATCAGAGCTGTGTCGATACCTGCTCTAAGGGGCAGACAAAAAAAAAAATGCAGCGACAATTGACAACAGCCAGCCATTTTATTCGTACAACACGAGTAAACTAGGGAGGTATCACACAGGAGGCATTAGATGAAACTCTGCACTATTAATCTTCTGGTGTGCGCTCAATATTGAGTGCAATAATACATGATAGCAGTCCAGGGAAGGTGCCAGGATTTTCTTTACTGTAGGGAAAAGGTGGAAGGTCATCCATGACAAGTCGGGGGCAGGAAGGCTGGGTATATAGGCACTGTGGTTGGAATATGCATTTAGCAGGGGAGGCAAGAAAATATTTTAGGGGAGGGGGGGCACACCTTTAATGGCACCACTACTATATTCACCCCTATCAACTATACTATATCTCAGTAGTTCCCTGCAGCACTGAGGAAGCTGCAGGGCTTCTTAGCCAGTAGAAAAGGCGAAAGCACCCCATGACATGCTCATCAGCATCGCGTGATCCCTATGGCGTTCATTTGGTGTCGGCTTGCCCACACTCTTGGCACTTGCTCCCTGCAGTCAATATATAACATGCAAAAACCGTTCTGGGAACATCATTTCAGTGTTTCTTTAATGTTCAGAAACTTGCTTTTACTGGGCATGTTAGCTGGTACTTGTGACAAACCAACTTCTTTCTATAAAAACTTTCATACTGGCACTGTCACTGTGTTCATTTTTCGACAGCATCAAATGCATTTAGTGCTACTTACCTTGCTTCTTTTGGAAAATACAGGATGTATGACCAATACCGCACTGGAGACTAAGCTGATGCACTATGAGTGGCCATCAAATATAGTTCTGGAGTGGAAACGCAAACTTTTGGCACAGAAAACAATATAGATGTTCAGGGTGTTTCACATTGTCAGCGCATCTCCAGTGCTAGTGTTGTGGGGCTACCTGCTCCGTTGACATCAAACTACTTTCACAGCTTGGCACCGCCTCAGTGTTCCAAAGAGCATCAAAACAAAGCAGAGATCTAAATAATAGCAAGAAAAGATACCTAATGCTTTGCCTTGAGCTTTAGATGAGACTAAGCGATGGCAGATTGTACCAATTATTTTTTATTATTGAGGTTAACAGCGCAAGAGTAACACATGGCCACAAACAGGAAACAAGATGAGACAAGTGCTGACTTCCAACTAGAATTTTATTGACAAGACAGCTTTTATAAATAGCTGAGTGAACAGCTAAAACTGTGAAACGGTCATGAAAACCGATGCGAAGATACGAAACTACTAAAAACATCAACAATCACTGTGGCCTGCTGCCGCGCCGCCCCTTGCATACCAAGAAGCAAAGCTCTTTGTCTGACAGCGCAACTGATGGCTTGCTTATGCACGGGTTCATTTCATGCGTCATCTGAGCAGCATTACAGATTATGTGCGAGCTCTTCTTTAATCTTATGCACAGCTGTGGTCCCTTCAAACTGCAGAGTGCACACACAAGTGTTCATGAGTAACATCAGGAAGCCATCTTTGCCATTACTAATGTAATTGGCGCGTTCCCGTGACCGTTCATTTAGGCACCTGAAAGGGGCCCGTGTGTAAGCAAGCCCGTCAGGCAGAGATCACTGTTTCTCAGTATGCGACGGTCTGTGCAGCAGACCACAGTGATTGCTGATGTTTTTAGTAGATTCGTATCTTACCATCGGTTTTCATGATCTTTTTTTTCAGTTTTTTCGCTGTTCACTCCGCAATTCATAATAGCTTTTTTTGTCAATAAAATTTTAGTTGGATGTCAGCACTTGTTTTGCCTGTTTCCTGTCTGTGGACATGCATTATTTATGCACTGTTAACCTTAAGTGTGCAAAACCAACTAGCTCCATCAGCTATTTTATTTCTTATTGTCTAGGCAGAGAGCCAGTAAAAAGCAAGAATTCAGATGGAAGTGCACGGCCTGGGCTGTATAGGGACTGCCACTTTGCTGCATGTCTTTACAGATAGGGTGGCTATTCTGGTTACCAGCCAGTTATCACTGCAAATAATCTCGATAATGCAAAGTGCATGCGTGAAGGGCTGAACTTATTCCATATACCTGTAACGCATATCCAATAACTGCAGCTATGACCCTTGTAGTTCATTGGTAATAAATTTATGACCAAAACTATATTGTATGCAGCGTAATGATACTGCATATGTACTCCTCACAACTTTGACAGAGCTGCAAAGTAGTTGTGAGATAGAGTACAGCAGTTCTTTGCAAATGTCATAGTGCTTTCCAGCTAGACCCCAGTGCACTGTGGACAAAATGAATTGAGACTTCTGTATATGATCAAAAACTTTTTGAACTGATGCCCTCACTTATCACTCTCTTTTGAAGATGGCGCTAGCACTATTTTCTGGGAAAGTTATGACCATGCCCGTAAACTCGGGAGAATTTCTCATAATTCGGGAGTCACCTGGGCTAATCGGGAGAGTTGTCAGGTATGATGCTCTACCATCAAACAGTCAAGGCCCACTTGCAGTGACCTTTTTACCCAAATAATTGCGCTCTTATTCAACCAAATTTCTTGTTTGTTCTTTTGTTTGTTTACCTGTCTGCTGTCACAAGTGCATGTTATGTTTCAGAGCAAATAAGGGCACTGCCTTCCTCAACATTAACACTCCCACAGTTGACAACAGGGCACATCTTTAACCAGAATAGCAAAGCGCTATCAGCTTTGATTTAGCAACTCATGTGTGGCACTAACCTTTTCGTAGAGTTTGTACAGGGCTGGGATCTTCCTCGGTGAAAGGATGCTAAAGTTGACTTGCCTCTGTAAAATGACAATGGACACCATCAGGTCATCGGAGCCCCTGACACAAGTCTCCCACAAAATTGTACGCATAACAATGTACACAGCATGGCTGAAACAGGAAATTCAGTAACCTTGTGGAAACATGTCAGTGAATTTCATAGATGAAGAGATGTAAGTTGATGTCGACATTTATTCATTACTTTTTCTCAGGGGCATGAAAGTGCAGCAGATTTCATTCAGTTGACAAAACCGATTGAAATGTCTGGTAGGCTCATAGGTTGGCAAACTCAGTGATGAGTCCACTCACTCAGGTTCAAGTCAAACCGCGAGTCTGAGTAAGTCCTGCCGAGTAATATGTTAGCGAGTTTGAGTCCAAGTGAGTCCAGATGAGAAAAAGGTTTAGTAAGTTTGAGTTGGGTCTGGTTGAGGAAAATTTTGGAAAGCCCGAGTCCAAGTGGACCCTCAGAGCAAAGTAGATTGCTTCAGTGAGTCAGCGTGAGTTCGAATTCTTTTGCCAACCTATAGTTTCTTGCCGGCCTCAGTAAACATGACAGCTGAATAAAGAAAAAAAATATTGAAATGCCACCCATTCATTTAGCAGCATTTGCCCAATTCTAATATGCCTGTAAATCAAACACCCATTTTCTCTGAGTTTAAGGCATAGAACTCAGAAATGACACTATAGCTTTCAGAAAAAAAAATAGAAATCTGATGCATGCATGATTTTCTAACAAGAGAAATTTTATATGCCACTGACCTTGGCACCCAGGATAATGAAATCGGCACAGTATCGTATTTACTTGCGCAATGAAAGCACTCGCATAATAAATGCACCTCCAACTTCAGTCGTCAAAGTTTAGATTTTCGTAATAAACGCACCCCCAACAGTCGTTCGCTGCAGTCCCGCTAACCGACACCTGACACTTTCTTGCCCATTGGATCTCTTCTGTTTTTTTATTATTATGCCGAGCCCCCTTGGCTCGCTCACTCCCCCCCCCCCCCCCCTTCGCCTGCTGCCGCGCACCGTATAGTTTTTCTCTGTGCAAGGCACGTACCCAGTCTTTGTTTATTATCTGTGTGCCACAGCAGTGTTCATGAATGATGCGAGTTTAGAGACATCAAAGCTGACAAGCACACAGTGAGTGAGGGTCAAGAAACTGCCCGTGCCAACTGAGGGTCGTTACCTGCAAATACAAAACTTTAAGGTCCTACCACATGCATGAAATTTTCGAGTGACAACAGAATTAGCTGTCGCTATGGCTGTCGCAAAGGGTCATCTGTCGCCATCGTGTCGCGAATTTCTGGAAAACCAGAAAAAAAATGCTTGTCGCCCAGAAAATATTGAGACTATTTCCGCAACACGGTCCCAGATTCTCGCTTTGGTTGCAAGCGAGGTGCCCCCTGTATTCTGTCGTTGATCTTGTTATCAAAAGTTTGTTTTGATGCTTCGGTGGTAACTTGCTGCAATGTTGGTTGCTTGCTACAATGTCAACGACGTCGTCGCGGTCATCGTGCGAGGTTGCCACAAAGTTGGGCAAAGTGCGTTGTGGCGTCGTAGTGCATGCTTCTGGGCGCCCCTCGAGATCATAGCAGATACGACTGTTGCGGTTAAACGATTGCGAGAAAAAATAGCCGCAAAAAGCTTTTATGGCATGCACGAGCGGCGCAGGAACAGCTTGCAGAAGACAGCGCCTTCAAGCACCAAAGTTGAGTGAAGTGCGAAAAAGCTGAGCGGCCAAACTTTTTCTTTGCATTACCTCATTTTTTTGCTAACTCCAAAAAGGTTTTCATAAAATTTGCCCTGTATATTAAATGCACCTCCAACTTTGCTCTGATTATTAGAGGAAAAAAGTGTGTTCATTAGGCAAGTAAATACGGTGCTACTAGTTAACTCAGACAAAGTTGGTAAAACTAGTGTTTGGATTGGTGCAGCGAGATGTTGACAAGTAGCATTATAGCAAAATGGCACAAATGGCCCAGTTAAACCGTCACTAGTTGCTTTAAAAATGATACTTCAGATAATTTAGGACAATCTAGAAATTTTCTGCAAATTTTTTCCTCCATGAAAATACCTTTGGTCTTTCGGGCACCATTGCAGTGCAAATATCTGACAAACTCATCATTTGGTTCTGGAGTCATGCAAAGTTACTGGAGTCATGCAAATAGTAAAATTTTAGGTGTGAAATTAATACGTATATTCATGCATCCGTGCAAATCAAATCAAATAATTTTTGAATATTTCTTTAGTATTGTTCGAATACTCTTATGTGAAATTACACAAAAAAAGTTGCGGAGGATCCCTAAGCATATTCTTACGAGATAGCAACATGAGAGTGTTTATTCTGGCTAGGATGGTGAAGTGTCGAAGGGGTGGTGTTTTCTAGTTGCCCTATCAAGAACTAGGCAATGCAGAGGCCAAACTGCCTTTACTTACAAAATTTGGGGCAACCAATGTGGTGCCAACAATGCTTTAGACGTGAAAAAAAAAAAAAGACGGCATTTCTACAGTCTCTCCTCCTGGCTCACCTACTGTGTAGGCCAAACTTATGTGACAGACAAGCGCATGCTCGCTTTTAATCCAGAGTTCCTAATCTGCCCCGTAGGAGTCAATGTATAAAAATGTACGGTATTCGGAATACTGAAAATTTGCATCCAATTTCTCGGACTTTTTCGTCTAAAACGGCATTGATTGATTAACGCTGCCACTTCTTTCACATAAGTTCAAACGAGCGTTTTTGTCAGTCAATCGGTCCACTTGCCACTGTAGCAGATACCGAAAGGCAGCGTTACTGCACTACCAGAGTGTGATGCAGAGAAGCATATAAAAAAATATGAAGGGGTCGTTTTAACTGCACAGTGTGGCCTTTAACTGCACAGTGTGTGCCTTTACGGATAAGTATCAGAAATGCACGGAGGCCTGATATCAACGGGCAACAAGCGTGCCATTGTGGCTTAATCACCGACAACCCTTCTGACCTTAAGCTAACTACTCAGTAGTGCATGTGGCCCAGCGCTGCTAGTGGTATACGTATGTCCCATATGCACTGCCAGTGAATTGGACGAAGGACGTTGCGGCTACGTACAGTCTGGACGCCACAGCCGGCAGCCTGAAGCTGTGCGGCCACAACGCTGCTTTTTAACTTTTTTTCCACTTTGACCTTTTGACCTACGCACAAATAAAGGTTTTCACCACTACCTGTGTGTGGTCAGAAACGGAGGTGGCATCACAAACGCTCTCATAAAATATGTGTGCCTACAGTACAGTGAGAGCCCAAGCAGTAACAGGGTCAGTGCAGTTGGTAATGCGGCGCACACAACCAGGAACGATCGGCTTCTGGTGGCAGCAACTGTGTATTTGCTGATATTTTGACAATCGTTTATGTGCGCACACGCATCGGCGAAAGTTGGTCGAGCAGTCCACTTTTCCGCCACAGTCTTTGCATCCAGCATTATTGTGTCCTAAAGTTCCAGGCGAGAGAGTCGTAATCTATTCCGCGTATGCTCGTACCAGAGGCGCTCTTCGTGAGGTGCAAATTTACGTAGTTAAGCGGGATTCAAGGCAGATATTGCATGCATTGATGAGAGCTTGGGTGCACACCAAAAATGCCTGAAAAGTCTGCTGGGGGGCACTACAGTTAAACCTCGTTATAACAAGACGGGCTATAACGAAATAATGGATATAAGGAGCAAATCCTAATTCCCCTTGAAAATCCCCATACAAACCCATGTATTCAAAACCTCGTTTTAACGAGGCAAAATTTGCCTGTTATGGGATATAACGAACAAATTTTGTTAGGAAGTAAAATTTTGAGCCGATGTCACGACAGCGCACAACGCGAATTATAGACGACGCGCAACGCGAGAACTGTATTTAGCAGTTCAAAACTCCCGCCACGCGCCCTCCAGCAACGCGCGCAAAGCAGACGGCACGCGCTGTTTCCGGAGGAGAGGTTGCTGCACGTGCGCCGCTTGGCTACCACCGACAGCGGAGCACTCCGCAGCTCCGCGAACGTCACACCCTTTTCTTTTTTGAGTCTTCTTTATATTCTCCCTCTCCCCTTTATCATGGCGCTGAGGCACGCTTCCTAATCTTACATACCCCCTTCCCCTTGAGCAACCGGTTCCTAGAGGGCAGCGCAAAAGAGCGCCCCTTCCTCTTCACAGTCACTTTCTCTGCAAGTGTTGTCGCTCGTCGACGTGAGCCACGTTGCTTTTGCGTGTGTGTTTCTTCTCTTTTTCGACCGCTTCCGCCTTATCTTTTACCGTGCTGCGCTCGTGATTCCAGCAACATGAATGCGCCAGGTGGGAAGCGAAAGTGCATAACGCTAGATCAGAAGGCGACTATGATAAGAGCCGTCGAATCGGGGACCAATTGATTTGATTTTGATTGATTTGTGGGGTTTAACATCCCAAAACCACTATATGATTATGAGAGACGCCGTAGTGGAGGGCTCCGGAAATTTCGACCACCTGGGGTTCTTTAACGTGCACCCAAATCTGAGTACACGGGCCTACAACATTTCCGCCTCCATCGGAAATGCAGCCGCCACAGCCGGGATTTGATCCCGCGACCTGCAGGTCAGCAGCCGAGTACCTTAGCCACTAGACCACCGTGGCGGGGCGAATCGGGGACCAAGAAAGGCAATGTGGCAAGAGACTTTGGCGTATCGACGAGCACACTATCAACCATCTTGAGCAAGCAGGAGTCCATCATCGACGCTGTTGCACGTGGCGTGAAAGAAAGTGCTAAGAGGATGAGAGCACCTGCCTTTGAAGCGGTCGAAAGAGCCATTTTTGAATGGTTCTTGGACACGCGGGCCGTGAATCTGCTGGTGAGCGGCACCTTGCTGCAAAGAAATGTGAGAGACTTTGCCTGTATCATGGGCTATGACAACTTTGTAGCAAGTTCGGGTTGGCTCCAATGCTTCGAGGAGCGCCACGACATTGTCGGGAGAGCGGTCTGCGGCGAATCGCAATCTGTCGACGAAGCAGAGGCTACCAAGTGGGCGAAAGAAAACATCGTGCGGCTGCTAGAAAAATACAGGGCGGAGGATATTTTCAACGCGGACGAAACCGCTCTCTTTTTCAAGATGTTGTCGCACAAGACGTTAGCCCTCAAAGGCGAGCCGTGCCATGGCGGCAAACAAAATAAGCTGCGGATCACTGCACTACTTTGTGCAAACATGACCGGCTCTGAGAAGCTGCCAATTTTCGTAATTGGCAAAAGTGCATCCTCTCGCTGCTTTAAAGGGAAGAGGCAGCTCCCAGTCAAGTACGTAGCCAATCGCAAAGCCTGGATGACCAGGGAGATTTTCTCAAAATGGCTTTGCGAATGGGACGAGAAGCTGGCAAAGGCGAACCGCAAGGTGTGCCTTGTTTTAGATAACTGCACCGCCCACCATACCGCTGCCGTGCTTCAAAACATCGAGCTGCTGTTCCTTCCTGCCAACTGCACAGCAAAAATACAGCCGCTTGACCAAGGCGTGATTATGTCACTTAAGGCAGGTTACCGCAAGCGAGTGATAGACAAGCTCCTGCTCAACATGAGGATGCGAGACACCGATGTTGACTTGTACGCTGCGCTCGAAATGCTTCAGGCGGCGTGGATGAGTGTGACGGCGACCACGATCGCAAACTGCTTTCGACACGCCTTATTTGCCGCCGCACCAGACGCCAGCGATGAGCCATCAGACGAGCCCACTGTGCCGGACGGTTTTGCCACATCAGACGAAGTCGCTGCATCATGGACGGCACTTCGTGACGCCGGTGTCGTGCCTGACAGCGAGTCGTTTTGCGACTATGTGAGTGCGGACTCGGAAGTGGTGGCAACGGAGCAGCTCCTGGATGACAATATTGTGCGCGCTGTCAGTAATCGTAACGAAACCAGTGACGATGACTCTGTCAACGAACAGTAGCCAAACGTGCCGACGGCGTCGGAGACATTAGACGCGGTGGACGTACTGCGCCGCTACTTCGGCGCTCTCAAGGACAGCGAAGATGGCTTGAACATTGCGGCCGCAGCTGAGCGAGCCATCGTTCGCATCAGGAAGATGCATCAACGTCCAATTACAGACTTTTTTGCAGCTAAGTCTGCCTGAAATGCAAGCTGTGTATTTTGAAGTGCATTAAAACAGGTGCATGACTTTTTCCTTTTTATTTGGGAATGCGGTTATTTTGTTGCATACCACCGTGTGGCGGGATGCTATTTTGCCCGCTATTTTTTTTGGGGTAAGTACACTGCATAATATTTGCAGTAAGTGCCCGCTACGGCTATAACGAAATATTGGTTATAACGAGCAGAGAGCGGCGGCCCTCCAATTTCATTATAACGAGGTTTAACTGTATAGCTATTCAGGACGTAGCTCTGTGGCGATTTGACTGCTTCCTTTAAAATTTTTTAGAAACCATAATTGGTTTTTTTTTTTTGCTACTTCGGGATAAGGCCTTCCTTAACAATATCCAATGCCCCACAAGTCTTTGTGTCTTTTGATTGAACCAAAAGCACCATATTTCCAACATTAACTGACAAGCATCTAAGTTGCCTTTTTTCAAAATGTGTACAAACTGACCTTAATACATCAAGTCAAACATTTGAAGAATCGATAGTCATAGTGGTGAAGCCGCGCAGAAATCTGAAACCAGCTGAAATAATTGTTCTAGCACCTGTAAATTCCTTAATATAGAACGCATTCGCAAAGTTCTTGTGGCAGCATGTGCACAAAGCAAAAATGCACTTATTTCTCTCTATAACAATTTTTGGATCTCAGAGTTTTTTACTGGCCCTTTAACCGGTATAGTGGTGCTACAGCCGAGCTGATGTAACTGGCACAAGTACTGACCTCAGCCATGATGGTGGCAAGTTGCTCGACCGAATGGCCAGCATACATCGGGCTCTCGAGTGTGGGCAGCCGGTAGGGTGGCGAGTTGCAGACCAGGATGCAGTGCTTCTGTACCACTGACCTGAAATGAGACAGAAACCCATGTTAAAGTTAGAGCTCCGCACGGTAAACTGTTGTCATACCCCTGTCACACACTCATGCAAAAAATCTTTCACGTAAGTGGCCTTTTACAAAGCCGAAAGTCTCTTTGGTGAAAGGTGTTGCCTCGCAGGCACACGGCACCGATGAGCTCTCTTTAATTTTAATATTTTTTTCCTTCCAAATGTGCTACCGCACGTGGGACGCTAGCTTCCAAGAGATAACATGTCAAAATAAAATTATGCATCTTGGTGCATTAAGTCCAGCTCCAATCATAGTTGCCGCAGCTTTCTGTGAGTGTCTAGAGCTGTTTAATTACCGGCGTAGGCCATACAAGTTACGCTGCCACGCTTCTTGCGTCTATGTGTGCGACATGCTGAGCATCACCGTATCGCCTGTGTGATATGCCCGACCAGTAGCTACAACTGTCTACAAGAGTACATGAAGAAGTAAGCTTTAAAACATTTGTTATGCCTTCTACAAGACATGAAATTTATTTTTAAGAGCCCAAGTGATAAAACAATAAAGATATGCCTTTTCTTGATCACTTCATAATTGCTGGCGACCACTGGTTTCAAGGCTACTCTTTTGCAACTGCAAAGAAGATTGTCAAACTCGGTTTTCAGAAAAGACCACTTTTTAAGAGGGGAACGCTGTCCATAGTATGACTGCAAGCAAAACTTTTTTTCAAGAGTGCTCTAGGCCAAAAGACTTTCAAGTGCTCATGTGACAAGGGTATTATACATCCGGCTTACATAGGCACTGTGATATCTTGCAAAATAATAATTAGTTCTGTTCTATAGTCATGTGCAACTAGAAGGCAGTTGCATCTCCACATTAGGTGGAGCCTCGTCTGATTTGCCTCGAAAGGTGTGCTGTTTGCCCACTTTGTTTTTTGCAGAACTACACCCCCCCCCCCCCCCCCCCCCCAAAAAAAAAAACAAGCCACACCTGTATATCATCGATGTAACAAATAAGCGAACACACGTGATAAGCAGCACAATTTCTTTTAAAAGCCAGTGTGCTTATGCCTGCTTTCATGTGGTTTGTGGTTTAGTGCTTGCTTGGTTGGTCTCTAACTCATAAGGTGCAGATCAGCTTTGTATTACTCCCGGGACTGGTACACTCTAGCTGCCGCCCCCGTTACAGCAACTTGATAATGCCTCTATTGATATGTGACTACGCATTGCCAGATGGCTGAAAGGTAATGCACAGCAGTTTCAGACCCACTAAATGATTTCATGCATAGAGTTTCATACAACAATACCTAAAGAAGAATCTGGAGCTGCGATTGTGTACACTCATGGGAATTATGGGAAGCACGGGCTTCGGATTGGACAGCGTCATCCAGCAAACTGTCCACAATTTCCAGTTTCAGTTTTGTTTTTTAAGCAGTGCCTTTGTTGCTCAAAGAGGCTGAAGATCACTAGGTCTTTTGATTTGCTGCGACGTTAGAGCTTTACAAGCCGTTTTTAACGGTTTAAACTCATTGCTGTGCTTAGTTGTAGCGTCTCATGCCAGTACAGAATATTGCATCAAGTTCACGTTTTCTCACGAGTGCGTCTTGCCTAAATTCATTTGAATTGACTGAAAAACGACAGCGCAGCTAAGCAGATGCAGACATGCTCCTCTGACTTGACTGCACAACAAAATGAGAGGTGCGTTGGAGGCAGATCCTTTTGACAGATGCATCTGGCATCACAGAAGACGAAATATTAGGTGTTTCTTACTTAATACTGCACTGTTATTTACATTACTAGAAAATACGTACTTTTAAGCAAAAAACAAAACAAAAAAACAAGCATGTTTGTTGTCAAGTGCAGTAAATGTATTTCATTATATCTTGATGCCAAATCTGAATTGCACTGGCAGGACGATGCACACCCGGGTGGTTAAATTTGTCCACGGTTCACATCTACCTGATGATTACAAAAACTTCTTGCGATTAAGTTTATGCACAAAAGAATGAAGCAAGTTTCAATTGGATATAACTTCATATCACTTTGTTTTACACTCAGCAATTAAGCGTCTGGAATCTCAAGTACGTGATGCATGTGAAGCAGATTCGAAGCCTGTACTTGATTCCCATGGGGGTACAAGTGCTGCTGAAGGAGGCCGTGTAGCCACTAGCACCGAATTCCCCTTTAGGTATTATTGTATTAAAATCTATGATTTCATGTTTTATGAATGACACATCTTGACTAAGAAGTTAGACGGCCAACAGTCCGTAAAATACGCCACCTTTCAACAATTTCCTATAATTCTGGGAACATCTTCTTCTTTCTTTGTCAGTATAAAATGTGAGAGAGCAATTGAATTATATGTCTTAATTACAACATGTACATGGCACACTATTACTTGAATCCATGGGGAGAGCCTCCTAGGTGCTTTGTGTGCCATTATCTATGCGATCAACCATCTATGGCATTGCCGTTGTGACTTCAGAAATGGAGGTTTTTCGAAAAAACAGTATGTTACACACTCTCATGCAAATACGTGCCTCCATGACAGGCACAGTCACAAAATCTAACTTGTCTACCTGAGGTTGTCAAAACCGCACTCACCCTGGTTCACGCAGTGCCTGGAAGTCATCAAACACTTGCAGGGCTGTGCCGAGGCCTTCGGCAATGTGACTGCATGACTCCCCGGCTCCACCGACAAAGCTGCAAATGTAGTTGATGATTTCCTGTATTTCACAAAGATGCACTATGGTCCCTGTTGCCCACCCATTTAAAGAACTATAGCATTGTGATGACAAGTGCAAATAGTTTATACTCCCGCCGCAGTCGCCAGGCAGCGATGGGAATGAAATAGTAAAAAGTTTGCGTGCATGTATTTAAGTGCATGTTAATCAACCCCAGGTGCAAAAGCTTGAAACACTCGGCAGAAAAGAGTGAAGAGCGGGAGAAATGAAGGCAGAAATGGACATACAACACAAACATTGAATGTAGCCATCCTCCATAACTAGGGCAAGAAGATAAGCTCAGAAAGCCACTGAGTGGAATACCGCTGTGACGAAAGGACACACAAGTCATGTTTTATTGGTGATGCATAAGCATAAAGGACATAAAGCAGCAATCCGAAACCGAAACTGAAGAGCGGAGGGCAGGTGGCGCAGGGTGCGAAAGAAGAAGCAGGAACGAGCGACGACGCTACGTGCGGGAAAAAGGCTCGTGGCAAAAAGAGGAGGAAGCCACGAGGGCTTCTGGAGCATGGTTCAAGACAATAAGCGTGAGCCAGGGTTGCTGAGGTGGGCGTGGAACCAGGTCGACTCTGTTTAAGGTCCAGCCTCGGTAGCGTACTTCGAGGTCGAAGGACGTGACCTGCGGCGCGGCTCCTGCCTGGGTGCAGTGGCCGGAAACAGGTTCATGGACGAGGCCTGCCTGTCGCTGCCTTCGTGGACAGTTGACTGATCATAACGCTCGAGAGTCACGGTCGACTCTCGAGCATTATGATCAGTCAACGGTCCACGAAGGCAGCGACAGGCAGGCCTCGTCCATGAACCTGTTTCCGGCAGCTGCACCCAGGCAGGAGCCGCGCCGTCGACTCTCGAGCATTATGAGTTGGCCACCGAGTGTGCGACAACGGCGCTACACACGGTACCACATCAGTGTGATGCGACCGTGCCTTACCGAACAACCGTGCATCCTCCACGTGCTACAATGGGAGGACAATGCTCTGAACTGTTTAGCGATGTTTTTCTTGTCTAACCTTAACAGGCAGGAACTCTATGCGATTGACAGGGTCGTACAGGAACGTAGCTGAATTCTGGACAGTTTAGGACTGCCTGCTACGCATGCTTGCCATTACCCTGTACACACACTTTTTAAGTTTATCGCTTTTCTATCTCCTCTAGCGTGCGTCATAAAGTTTTTCTTTCCTTCTCTTTAACTCCAAAGCGTCCCTTCAAATCCTTTCTCGCTTGCTAGTCACAACCCACGTGACGAACTCCCATAATCATCACAACCGCCAACACAATAACTAGAACTGGAGAAACACAAACAGAAAACGCGCACTGCATGGACAAAGAACTTCAATAGGGAACCTCAGTACTGAAGTCCTGTTAACCGAATGCCCGCTTCGAAAGCCACTTTCACTGCAACCCCAGAGAGCTGCTACTGCATAACATCCCATAGAACAGCTATTGGTATAAAATGTTACACCCTGTAAACCAACCAACAAATCAACAAAATTTCTTGTCTAAGACCAAACTACAAGCCTGCACGGGTAATGTGCCAATCTGTTCAAAAAGCCTCATTGAACATTAAGTAATAGAGCATGCATAACTGAAATGTGCTTTAAATAGAATCTGCCTTTTGGTCATGTACTACATCTTGCTCAGCTTAAACGAACATGTGCTACCCCAAAAGCCAACCACAAAATGAACAGCGTTACAAGTTAGGCTCATAAGGAGACGAGAGAAAACTCGTACAACGTTCTCGAGTAGCTTTCACAGACGCATACTGTACTTGAAACCACATGCAACTGTTTGACCAGTACTCGTGGACTCAAATGCAAAAAATTGGGGATAAGTAATCCACGCACTTGTGTTTCCACAGTCTTCAGTTCGTGTTGTATCAGCTTAATTTTGACTCAACTTCTTAGATGACAGCCAACAAGACCTTTCGTGGCCAGATTTGCAGTGACATGACACAGTTATCCCAAGAAATAGCTCGTAAGAGTTATCATACTTCAAAAGTGTCATACTCTACTGCTGTTGTAAGCATTTTCGGTTGTTAGTACGTGTTTGTGGTGCCTGAATTGCTTCTTGTGCCTGCGTTTGCATGCCCCATCTTTTTAGAATGAATACGTACAGACTACCTCAGCTTCTATTATTCCAAGATTTTACACCTTCACCCGTGAGTACTGTACAAGCGCATGACAGCCAAAGGCATTTACGAAAAGACTTCATAATTAGGCCTCTGCAGGCTAGAAAGGCGTTGCAAGTTGTGTAGAGCTGAAAGTTTGTTCCCGCAGTCAGCACGTACGAGACACGGTCAAACCAGGAGAGCAGCTTGGCCACATTCGTTGTCGGCGCATGGCAGATGGCGGCTGGCTCAGGAGCACAGTCAGATGCCATGAACACCACCAGGGCATAGGTGGTGCTGTTGGACTGCAGAACACACAACAGGCTACATGAAAGGAGTGCCACAACTGCCACATTGAAAAAGAAGAAATAATACAGTCACAAAATGAAACAAGAGATAGAGTGGGGGAAGCGGCATCCTCATACAAGTGCCGTGTGAGGCAAAAATATGAAATTAATAGAAAACAACAAAGAAAAACTGGCTGTAGGGTAAATACACAAATGACTCAAATTAATTTTATTGAAACACTTTATAATAGGTTCCATCCATATGATATTTAGGATAATGCTGCTACTGCTACGAATAATTTATTTTAAAGCAAATTTATAGGCTGCAAACTAGACATTACAGTACTGTGGGTGACGACAACAAGATGCATGATGCTCGATAAAAACAAGAAATTTCCAAAGAACACTGTCTAGAACTAAATGACATGCACTGATAGGAGAACAATGTGTAGTATGCACTGATAGAAGAAGAATGTGTAGTAATGAACAGGTTCCCATATTGATAAAAAACTTAATACATTATATCTGTTCAGCTAGATTTTGAGTGTTCACGTCGATTCACGAAATCTGGCTAATGCCACGCAGTACAAATGTCTTTGAGAGACATTTAGTAAAGCGCTCGGCATAGGTAATGATTCGCCAGTAGCAAACTCAATTAGAAGAAATATCCATACCGCTTTGTGGTGACAGTGAGGTTGTCTTTTGTAAGACATTATCTTTCCTGCACATGCCACATAATTCTGCTCACAAGAGCAGCGATTTACAATCTGCAGAGCCGAACACTCTTCTGTCTAAGCTGCTGCAAAGCCCACATATTCGTTGCCTTAAGAAAGTTAAAGAAAAAAAACTCCCTTATTAATATGATCAAACCTTCATAACATTGATGGCTCCTCCCGAGGATTGTTTCAGGCAATTCCGCTGGCTGGCTGCTTGTAAAACTGTCACTCCCAAATTTCGATATAATGACTTGCTGAATGTGGTAGGGCACAGTCAACCAATAGCATAATTGCATTGCATTTCAATGTCAACAAAAATGTTAAATCATCAATGACAATGAATTTTCCAACAAAAGTACACCTGGTACGACGCTGAAACTATCTCGTCACACAAACCTAGTCACAAGCAACGTTACTGGATGGAGCCAGTTGGGAAACTGCATGGGCTCGCCACGGAAGCGGCGTGGCCGCTCACAGTCTCCCAAAACGCGGGGGCGCTGCGATCGCTTTGCGACCTGGTCATGTGACGAGCTTCGTGCGTCGTCTGCTCGTCGTCTGTTCCGCGCCCCGTCTCCGAAGGACGGCGCAGCGTTTTTGGAGCACTTCATATCTCAAGGAATCTTGTTAGCGGATGCATATTGAGAGCTTCCTGCTACAACCACTGCATAGATGAAGGTGGACACAGCTTGGAGCTCTGAACGAAGTCTGAGTGGTTCTTTTTGCCACGTGCTGATGGTGCTGACTGCATTCCGCAGGTGTTTCGATGTGATGAGCTTGTGCTTGCCTAATGAATAGGTGCCTCCGAGAGCATAAACTGAAATTTCCTGAAAATTTTTTTGAGATCGCATTGCTCGTGCAGTCCTTACATTGAGCGTTTTCTATAAAAGCATGCTCTTATTTGAAAGCGACAGTAAGCGTTCTAAATGAAACAGTCGCGAGTTCTGAAAACTTGCGCATGTTTTTATTGTATACAATGCCGCTGCATTTACGCTGCGGTGCGTTATCTGTGTGGCTTGTCAGGGAGAATAATACGATGATGTATATCTTACGAGACAACTCACTTTTTTTTTTTTGGTTCCCAGCACAGCAATCTTTTGCAGAAGAAACACGTAGTTACAAACAAATTTTAACAGAATGGTTCGTAACAGTCGGCTTGTATTTTTTAAATGCATACCGTTTGTAAGTAGATACAGTTTTTAAATTGTGCAAATTCAACTATTTTATTAAGTGTACTTAAGTAAAGTGTGGGATTGGGCTAGTTGGTAATCCATATAAAACTTCTAGGCGCGTAAAACTTCAGACAACTAACACAAGAGACGAGGACGAGCGCAGACTTTCAACTGATTTATTACTACTACGACACACATATATATGTTAGAAAGAAGATAAGATCACTTGCTTAAAAAAAAAAAAAAAAAAAAAAAAAAAAAAAAAAAAAATCAAAAGGCGAAAAAAAAGTTTTACGCGCCTAGAAGTTTTATTAAGTGTAAAGATTGTTTTTCCGATTGACAATTAAATGTATCGAATGTGCATGACTAGGAACACGGAATGCCAATCGAGTGGATATGAATTAAGGAGCTTGGAGAAGCTCCTTCATCTCTTCGTCACCTCTTCATGAAGGGAGGAATGCAATCGAATTAAAAAGAACAGCGTCATTTTAGTTTGACACTCGAATACCCAAATTTCGAACCAATGACATGCGTCGCCGGTAAGCTGGCTGTGTTCTACGTGGGACTCCTGCTAGGTTATTTAATGCTGTTCCGATGTTCCCGTGTCCTCATTACAGCCCTTAATTCACTGAGATCTGTGCATGTTGCTGTGCAATAACTGTAAGAAAAGCCACCAAACACATTTGTTCAAGTTCCTGTTTTTTTTTTTACTTGGCAACATTTCTATGTTAAATCACTGCGTAGTTTATTGGTGCGTAGTCTAGAGAAGTTTGGCTTTCTTTTTTGTAGAAGACACCCTGCCAGAAGCACTCAGCTTCTTACAAACATCTCTCGTAAAAAAGTGCATTCTCAAAACAACGTATGAGTGTACAATCTCCGATGTCAGGATGTCCTTATGAACTGAACAACCAACGCTTGGAACATCGCAGTCTTTGATGACATCCAGCGCATCCCAAAACATGTCGGCGCACAGATGGTTTTCTCCTAGCACGAGAGACAGTTTTTCTTCGACGCGTTTCAACATTGTGTAAAGTTCTGTAGAGGGATGCTTGAGGCTTCCGTTCCTGAATTCTCTTGCCAATGTCAGTAGTGAAGCGGGGAATTTAGTGTTTGTTGACTGGATGCTGCTTATGCAAGCAGCGCAGTTGACGTGCTTCAGAAAAGAATGTACAATGTAGCCGCAGAGGTAATATACGACGCACTCCTGTACTGCTGGCAAAGCATATCCGTGGTCCGGAAGCGGTGTCGGTCCCGAGTGGGATGCTGAACTTATTCCAGGCAAGCAAACCTCGGAAATCTTTGCGCTGATTGTCTCACGCAACTTTTCATACGTTGCCAGCTGCTGCTTCTTCCCTTGCTTCATCGTCTCTTGCACTGTGGCTAGTATTAAGGTTGGCTCCTCTTGGACATTGCCTGCAATCGAAGCCTTGACAGGTGTGTACAGGCTCAGCAACCTGTAGATATGGGAAAAGCTCAGGATCGTCGGATGGTCTTCGTCACCTCCAAAGCTCCTGGTGATTCCGAAGAACCTCTGTAATGGTAGTAATAAAGCCGTACGTCAGTTCACCGTATGTATCTCTTTCAGAAGTCAAAGTACGCATGGCGTATGGAATGCATAAAGAGGATTTATAGAGTGCAAGTCTCAGGCGGGAATTGCACATCTCACATAGAGATATGACGACTGTTTAAAACCACGCTATGCTTCCTCATAACCGTTTTGTTTATTTTCCATGCAATGAAGTAAGTGCGCAGTTTTATGGAATTATGCTAATCTCACCTCCAAGGGGTCTTGATTAAGCTTGCCTGTGAGCACGTAGCGTGCACCTTTAGCAAGGAGGTCATTTGTTAGTTCCAAGATAGATGACAAAGTCACCCTTAGAGACTCCATTGTTACTTGAGATGCGAACATGGCTGTTCCTTTCTCAACGTGGTTTCTCTCTGTCAAGTCCAAGATAATCATGAAATCTTGGATGATCTAGAAAAGGGAAAAGTTTATGTTAGACATTACTTTTTTGTGCAAGCTAGCTCTTACATGCAAACGTCGACGCCTATAAAAAAAGGGACCTTTGAAGAAAGGCATAAAGTTATTTTTAACCTGATTTTTTAATGAAACATGTGTGCCACTGAATGAAAATGGAAGCTGGTAATACTTGAAATCACGCTTGCGGCGTGTCGCCTTCTCATCGACGTTTATTTCAGTTATCTGGAAGGAGAAGTTCTAAGTTCCAAGACATTTATTCGTCGTCTTTCTTTCAATAATACCTTCCTTCAATTACAAAATAAATGTCTACTTAAACTAGGCTTTTGTTGGTGTAAATGTTTGTCGGCGTTTTGTATTTTATTTATATGCCCAGTGCCTCAGTTCTTGATTAACATTACCTATTGCGAATGTTCTTCAAAAGTAGCACATTTTATCGCCCTTGCCTTAATTTCCTTGGATGTGCTCCTTATCCCAAAACGAGGAAGCTTGATGTTCAGGGCATCAAAAAGGTCATTTATGATGCGGGTAAACGCGGCTGTCCCCTCGCAGTCTTCCAGGCCATCTTGCTTGAGTCTCCGGTACACATCAAGGCCGATAGCCGTACTTCGGCTGAGCAGCTAGGGGACAGAAAACGTATAGGGGCATTTTATTAATCGCAAAAAGACTTAAGGAGAACACTTCACAGTACCAGTTAAGTTTGTGTTTCACATGTGAAGAATTTGCCTAAATAATCAGGTAAGCTATAAGTTCTTTCAAAAGCAGCTTTTCGTAATCTTACCTGTACTGCGAGCTTCACACTCATTTTTCTCATGTTGTCAGGGCAGACGTGTTCAGCGGTAAGCTTCGGAACAATGCGGAGTTGCTCTTTGCCGTCTACTTCTTGCAAAACTCGGTAGTGGTCATAGTTTATGCGATGTTCACCAATCTATGAGCAAGAAGAAGAGAGGGAAAAAAAAAGTCCGTCAGTCGTATGTAGTGCTGCGAAGAAAATGTATTTTGATTGGCACCGCGACACTATTTATTGCGATATTGTACTGTACGTGGTACTTACCATGCCATATTTGTGTCGAAGAAGATGGTTTCTAATGCATTTGACAATGTGGGGTACATCGCAAAGGAAGTAGAGGCTTTGATTTGGCTCGCATGGGTGCTGAACTTTGTGGTTTGCTGTGTGAAGCTTTCCTGATATGCCAAAGTTGGACCACATTGCTTTGTTCGTGCTGGCGCCATCACTGATTACTGCGACGACTATGGCGTTGTGTTTGCGTAGCTGCACGATTGCATCAAGAACTATTTTGGCGAGCACGTGTCCGGGGGCTGCGTTTTTTGTTGCAAAACTTGCAATCGGTTGAACCCATGAGTGGAATAGAGGCACAAACATTGCAACCAATGCATGATCAGCAGTAGCTGCTGAAACTTCACCGTCTCCGTAATTTACGAACCCATCAATCTTGTATGTTTGACGGTTGAAAGCTACGGCTTGGCGTACCTTCATTTCATCTATTACTAGTGTGCCGTAACACTGGACTCCTTTCATAGTCTTCATGAAAGCCCCTATGCTGGAAAGGGAGAGCTTATTAAAGCCAAACTCACAAGGCATTCCTCTTATTATTTGTCGGAGCCTAGTCGAAGTTGGAAGAGGGAGGATTTTCATTCTTGACATCAAGCGGTACACACGTGGGCTTGAAATCTTCAAGAGAAGGCAACTCAGCAGCCACCCACAGTCATACCGCACACCTCTTGAAGATTTCGCTTTCATCGACTGCAGTGCTGTCCGAAATGCAAGTTGCTGCAGTGGTGGAAGTTCAGCTAAAACCTCGCTCAACAGTGCATTGCTTGGATCTGATGACAACTTTTTTTTCAAGCTTAGCAGGTCCCTCTTGTATTTCTCCCGCAGCACTGTTGCTCTTATAGTCTTCTTTCTTAAATTTCTCAACAGCGCAGATGGCAAAGGCACGTACTTGCTCTTTCTTGAACGTCGTTTCTGCCTGCACTGCAAGTTCTTTTTTGCTTTCCTGCACTGAACGCATAAGGCTTTCGCCGACAGCACTGCACATCGCTTGCTTCTCCATGTTCTCCCAGACCTTTCAGCCGTCTTAGAAGTTGATATTAAAGGACATAAACGAGAATCAAAACCATTGCAGATACCCAGGCTCTCAATGAGATGAAGAAAGGGCGCTGCGTCTTTCAAGGTGGTAAAATTGAGCTTGTCACTGTTAATAAAGGTGTAAGACGATTCCGGCACAAGTTTCCCTTTAGCGCTGACAACAACGGTCGAGTTTTTGTTTATAACGACAGCTCTTTCAATAAAAACTACGCCACCAATTTCTTGAAGTTTGTAAAAAACAACACGCTCATCCGTGTGTTGCACACACCATGCTCCATACACGGGCAAGTCTTCTATGCCACCAAACCAATGTTCACCTGTGGAGCTTTCTTTCATGATGACTTCCATGCTTTCAGCATTTGAGGCAGCCCTGTTTTCGTGTTCAAGCATTTCAGTGCACGTCTCACTTTCACTCTGAAGAACTGGGGTAATGTCATCTTCGGCCACTAGCACGCTTGCTGCATTTGTGCCAACATTTTCTACACAAAGCTTCAAATCAAGCTCAGCGCAATTAGCAAAATGCCGCGGTACCGCACCTTTCTTCAGTTCCCAGCGTCCTCGCGGAATCGAGACTGTTTCGCCATTCACAACATGCTGGAAGGAGGTGCAAATGTCCGCTTCATCAAAGTGACGATCACATATGTATGATCTTTGAGTAACTTCGAAGTTTGCACGGCCTGCCGCATTGTTCCACTCCCTCAGCACATTGGGGTCTTTCGGTGGCTTGAAAAAGTGTCGCTGCACGAAGGGCACTTCATTTGACGTTGCCGATGAATATCCACTTCGACAGCCTGGCACAGCACACCTCGGCATGCCGACCGTTCTCCCGAAGGGAGCAAAATTCAACCGCGAACAATTGCTTGCTCAGAGTCACCGTCCGCTTTCTCTCCAGAAAGCAGAACAGCGTAAACATTATCGTCTGCTCTGTCATGGTTGAAATTTAATGCATAAGGTCTGTTACGAAACAACGAGCCAGCCTTTTTTTTATATTTAGGTTACTTAACGTTACTTAATTTAGGTTACTTAACCATTATTACCAGCAGGGAAAAAATCGTCTGCAAGCGCAGGCCCTGCTAGCCGCGTCGCTGCTCCGTCTGCTCCGCGCGATGCCGGCTGCGCGGCGGAGAGGTCACGTGACGTGGTCGCAAAGCGATGCCAGCGACACCTGGAATGGGCGACGATTTGCGGCCGCCTCCTCGCGCGAGTTTTCCAACTGTCCTCATCCAGTAACGTTGGTCACAAGTGCAAACCTAGTCACAAGCCAGGTTAAAGGCACCTAGTAAAGCTGTATTCACACGACAAACGTGATCGCGGACCAATCCGTCACTTGGTATGCGACACGATTCTGATCCCTCCAAACCCAGCATCCGCATGAACGGGGAGAACTAACACTGCAAGCAAGAATTTCGGCACTGCTCCTCGACGATTCTAACTGTGATTTGGGTCTTCGTCGTTTCACGAATCGCTCCATATGGACTGAAGTGTGGAAGCAGGAACGGCTGACGTGTGGTGAGGTAGTGGACCATCTCCAGGCCCAAACTGCGATTTCATCTGTCATGTATATACAGTTAAAAGCATGGCAGGCAAGACTACCAGCATAGCTCAAGATTGCTAAATAGTCAATGAAATTTTGTGCATTACTTAATTATAGGTATATTTATGCTGCCAGTCTGTTGTGTTTTCTTTTAAATATGGGTTGCTGCCCGGCACAAAATTTACATTGTGAAGTTCGTAAGTGAAGTGATCTAGCAGCCTCAATTCACTCAGTATTTTCATTTAGCATACTGTTATTACCTTAGGACAACTGTGAAAGGAAAGCTTGGCCTGTGACCATGCTCGATTCATGCCTGAGTATGTGTCAAATGCAGAAAAGCTTTAGACAGGGACCGAAACAACCTGAGTTAAAGTTACCGCATTGGTTTGACCGCAACGATTAAACGAATTGCCCTGAAACATTTTCAAAATTTTTTTTACAAACCTAATGAACTCATAGCAGAGGTTGCCTTGATTATTAACAGATAAATTTAAGCACTACATCCTGTGTGCATTTTATTTCAAGGTTTAAAGATGCTTACAGCTAAAGGTTGCTGCATACTGCCACACACAGTTCTCAGCTGTCCCTGTCTTTGAACAAATGGTTGTTTGGAGACGCCAATTTCGTGGCCGATCCAATTAACTTTTAAATGCTTGTACTAGCAGAGAAGATGCAAGCTACCACTCAATGGTGGCACCTGGTGATGAAGACGCCAACCGGGCAAATGAAAAGCATGGCCCCCATGATTTGTGGTGACACAGCAAAGCATTGTAGAATGTGGAGTTGAGTCCTGATCCCTCTGTTTTGAGGTGAAAAAAAAAAAAAAAAGGAAAAATGCACCTTGGCCGAAGAATAACCTTTATATCCAGCAGCTCCTCTGATACAAGGCCCTTTGCTAAAATATGGTGTGAATGATCTACATTATTAATGCTTTAACAGCTTATATAACAAGAGTAAACCATTTGAGAGAACCTTTAAGGGAAAGAGCAATTATGCTGACAGAAGGAACTTATATACGGTTATAAAAAAAACTGCGAAAAACCAATAGGTTCCAACAAAACCGAGGTGTGAATTTTACAATCTCGACACCATTCAAGAAACAGTTATCACAGTTCCCTAAACGACAAGGTTCTGTGGAACTGTTGCGGTGCTTGTGAGGGTTCTGTCAATGTCGCACTCCTAAATTAGGGGCATATTTCGGAGAACCATGTAACACAGCCATTATGTTCACTTTAGTCGCCTTAGCAAGTGGAGCTTGCAGAATTGCTATATTACTTCCAGTTGCCTAGTCTTGAAGTTTGAGCATTATTTATAGCTTTTTTGAAGAAGAATGACATGAATAAAAAATCTGGCCATTGTAGACAACGAAGATTGACCATGCTACAACAAAAGTTGCCACCCATGATGCAGCTGATGCCAGGAAGTTACATGACTTCCCTGTTATCATGAACTAGGGCAGGAGCTACAAAGACATTTAGTAGAATAAGAGGACACATGACGACTACAGCTGCATTACACTTGGGAACCAGCAGCAAAACTTCTGTCATTAAAAACTTCTAAAACCTTGACCAATAAAAGACAATGCCTATTGCATGCTGTTCTCATACATTGCAAGCAAATATGGGCTACCAACTTAAGCAGTAAAGAGCTACGTAGGTACTAAACACAGGAAGCAGGTACCAAAGATTAAAAGTGACTAAAGTAGCCAGGAAGCTTGAGCTGGGCAATCACGTATATATAGCTACACTGCATGCTAGTAATTGCAGCTATGCGAAATAGTCGGGTTGAGTGGATAGTTGACTGAATGGAACGTAGAGGTACTACATCCTAATGTCTCACACGACACTAGACAAATAGCCAGCACACCTGATATTCCTGAATTGTTGCAATGATGAACACGGCTTCTTACACTATATCTGGCAGGTAGTCATGTTGTACTGGGCTGCTAATGGCATAACGAATATTCACATTGTTGAGTATATTCTTATCGATGTTAAGGTATGATCGAACATGAATTATCTAAGTAGTTGAAAATTGAAATTCGGGGAAGCCACAAAAACTAAAAATTGCCGATTCGGCCCCAATGAAGTAAACATGGCCGTTCTGTAGCCGCAAAACACTGGATGTGGCTATCTAACTGTTTAGTAAGCTATCCCATGTCCAAGTTGACACATTAGCACATAGTCGTTGGTCCTGCTTTCTACGCATATGCTTCACCCCAGCGCACTTAAAGTTTTCCAAATAACGCCCCGCTGTTATTTTGTTATCTACTTTTATTTTGAACTTGAACACAGCTGTTGGTCATAAAGTAGAGACTTCATTTTGCCGACAGCTTCCGCGAACCACAATACGCATGTGACAGCAATATGCGGTATATGACTCACACATGAATCTACCACTTACGTCGTAGCCGCAATCCCTGTCGTCAATTTGACCGCCATTGAAATACCTGGTGGGAAAAAAAATAAAACAAGGCACTTTTTGCACTTTACAGGTATTAAATACGCAGCTGCGCTAAATACTCGCGCGTATCACGAGCACGCAAAAGCATTGGTAGTACACGTAGAAATCACAGCAAACGAGATAATACCAAAAACGCAGTCGCGATTGACTCCTGGATAGGACAAGTGTTTTCGCTAGAGTTTCCTTAACAACAGCGGAATACGGTCACAAGTAACCGACGTTATCAGGCGTCGATGAGGGCAAAATGATAAAAATCACTGCCCTCCTTACAGCACCTTGTCCAGAGTGCTACTGATGCACGCCACACTAGTGGTTGACAATCCCGAAAACAAATAATACGTAATCCAAGAAGTCTTTTTCTAGGCGAGTAACACGAAGACGGGCAAGGTTCTGTTTGTAACGCGTGAAACCGAAAACACTCGTACGAGAAATCGAAAGCAAGCTCAGCGACGCTACTCACTCCAATGTCGGGACAATGTAGTGGCTCTTGAGGCTCTCCACGTATGGGCTGAGGTTGGCGGTGCCTTCAACGACGATCACAACATCGGCCACCCAGTTACCTTGGTCGGCGACCACCATGGTGCCGTTTCACGGGACGCTCGCGGAGGTAGCGCGCGCTTGCATGCCTGGCCGACGCGACTGGCTACTCGCAAACACACGCAGCACGACTTCGACGCTGCTGGAAGCGATCGGGCAGCTGTAGGTGTCTGCCCTCGGATCACTGAATCAGCTACTGCATTAGCCGCACATTTGCATTCGACGAAGTTTCACGCAAACCACAGCACGGCGCACGCAGCAACAGCCATTGCCGCGAACGCACGCAGTGAACCACGGCAGAGAACACCACCACAGGGAACCACAGAACACCTATGAGTGAACGGTCTGTGAGTGAACGACGCGAAGAAGTCGGTCAACGCCGGACCAGTTTACTCGGGCGTAGTGTCACAAATTGCGTGATTACGACGCGAGAATTAGTCCTCTTAAACACCAAACATTAGCGAAGTATAAAAAATTAAGGGTAGTGAAACAAAGTATAGGCCATTTTCTATGGTTTAATCAATCAAACATTAGTGCTGCATTGCGAAATGAAATTATTTTTTTTTTTGAAAACACGGTAAATATGGCGAGTGTACTACACTCATTCTACGGTTTCTTTCATTGCCATTTTTAATAACCCCGTGCCATTCCCTTGACTCATTGACCGGGATGTTGCCTATGTATTAAATGACATATTATCCTCGACATTCGTTTTTAAAGGCTTGCTCTAGTGTCCGCAAAAGACGCGAACGCTAGTCGCGGCATTAACGGGACTTTAGGCGCCCAATTCAAACAGTCATAATCAATGACTTTGCGATCCCGCTTGAACAAACTTGGTTTCGAAGACGTAGCGCTGCGCATGGCACAGTAGCCTAGCCTAGCTGGCGCTTTTCTGACAATTTTATACATAGGATATGTACCGAAATCGCTATGGCTGATCATGAATGTATGACGGATATACATTGCAGGCCATAGCACGAAAATCACAACATGCATCTGATGAACCCCATGAGACAGACGCCACTGTCTTGGTGCTCTTGCGCCCACTGCGATCGCTTTATGTGCCACACAGCTGGTATGGCGTGAGAAGGGTGTATGACCAACACAAGGGACTGATCCAGCAAATCATAACACGCGTGTCATTCGCACATGATTTCGATTACGTAGTCTCGGGCAACGTTAGTAACGTTGGTCTCAGGGTTCTGGCGGCGGTTAAATAAAATTGACGTAAGCCAAAAATTTCTGCCTTCATATGGGAGGAAGCGGTGAGCTAGCGGTGACAGGGAAGCTACAGAAATTCAGAGTTTTGCTTCAGAATAGATTCACGGCTCTAAACGAAGTAGCCAACGTTAGTGTTGACACAACGAACGATAATCTTACTAGCATCATCAAAGAGTGTGCAATGGAAGTCGGTGGTACAATCACTAGACAGGACGCTGGCAAATTTTATATCTGAAGAGACGAAAAATCTGATTAAAACACGACCAACCGTGAAAGCATTAAGAGCAACCGTCAAAATAGAGCTGGTTATGGTTTCGAAGTTAATCAATAGGCGTAATGTAGCTGACATCAGGAGATATACCATGAAGAGAATGAATGAATGAATGAATGAATCTGTGCCTGAAGGAAAGCAAAAAAAAAAAAAAAGGCTTTATCTTCTGCAGCCCTTGCGGGAGCACGGCTCAGCGCTTTGAGGGAGGGGGGGGGGGGGTGGATTGGAGAAAAGAGTTTTGAAGTAGGTAGAAGGAAAAGGTTCGAAAGAACGTGAAGGCCATGGCTGATGGAGCAGAAAGCGGACAGCGGCCGATGGCAGGGCAGTCCGAGTTGTAAGACTTGAGCAGGCTGTAAAAAGGGGGCAGAAACCTAAAAGCTGCGAGGGCAAACTTGTGCAAACAATCCAGTGGCGGATCCAGAGGGGGGAGGGGGCGGTAGGGTGATCGCCCCCTTCCCCCTCTCCTTTCAGTGCCCTCGTCCACTTCCTTTTTCAGGTTGCCTCGGCTACCACTGCTCCAAAGCACATTTCGCCAGACACCCGGTGGTTTTTGTTAGGTGTAAAAGTTGTCCTGGCCTATGCTAGTAGTGTTTATAAAAAGGTGCATTTTTTGTCCCCCAAGTGAGGACACGGCTCAGCGCCATGTATATATATAGCCACCATAGCCATGTTCTGCGTACTGCACTCCCGAGATGGCGCCAGCTTCTTTCATCCCCTTTCCCCTTTATCTACGTCTCTGGACACCTGCTACTCTTTCCCCCCCTCCCCTTCCGGACAGGAGAGTTCAGATATCTTTCTTGACCAGAGGCAGTTTTTCTCTTCTCTACGAAGAATTTGATCTCCTCACGCCTTTGCTTCTTCAGCAAGAGGGGTTGGCAGCTCAAAGCAGGGGCATTGACCCTGGGCGTCAGCAGGCGGGTGCAAAAGGGGAACTTGCTCCCCTCAAGCCTCACCAGCACTGGCTTTCACCCAATCAACACAAGATCTCTCTCTCTCTCTCTCTTCCAGACGCGACGCAACACTTGTTTGCACCCCTCCCCAAGAGAACATCATGCCGACGACCATAACGTCTTTGTACGACGCTGTTATCACGGATAGAAAGCACGTCTCCTCGAGTGCGTGACAGTTAGTTATTTGTAGACAGTTTGATAGCGCCCAGTTGCAGTTACGGTTTCAGCTAGTGAGCACCGAGTGAACTGAGATGGCTACGTCAGCACACAAAACCACGTGAAAATTTGTCAAAACTTCAACTAAAGCTTTCTGGGTGCTCTGAGACGCTGTAAAAATGTGTAACCATCCAAACACGCACTTCTGAAGTAAGTACATTGGCCTTTGTACGCCCGTGCGATACAACCCCATCTTTCCGATGAAAACGTCTACTCAGAGAGAGCCTTCACAAAAATCGTGTTAGCTAGCACAAACTCGTGGCACAGGTGGTGGTTGTTTGGTTACACGAAGACCACAGTATGTATTTCACGAGCAGTTGCACGACACGCACTTCAAAATTGATTTTAAGCACTTTCTAGGCGATAGCATTCATTGATATTTCGTAGCTGATCATGATGCGTATATGTCCACACAAGTTATGTCACCTTCACACTTTTCCAGACTCCTCGCGGCGTAAGGGCAAAATGGTGAATTGCACAGTTCACTGGCATCTTTGAACCAGGGGAGCTTATGAAATCTGGATTATTGCCGTCGAGGAAACCTTCACTTATTTTTTATGAAACAGGGTTGTTCACGCCACTGATTTTCCCGGCATTCCCAGTACTTTCTCGCGCACGAAGTTGTCCCTCCCAGAACTCGAAAGTAAGATGTTCTTGAAACGTTGCAGCTGTTTTAAGGAGTTATATACGATAACGAGAAGATATATCCATTCCATGAGGTATTACCCTCCCTGTGGCAGCTTTCCTAAACGCTCAAGTATCCCTCATAATTTTGCCTCTGACTCCTTTCCCTCATTATTAGAGATTAGTGTCGCAGATCCGCAGTAGGCCGCTTAACCAGCTGTACCCACGGAGCATACAAAGAAAAAAGCAAAAACGTGAATACCCAGGCAGTTTCGGGTACACAAAACTCTCTATTATATCGTCAAAAAATGTGGGAGAGCTTCCGAGGCAGATGCTGCTTTTTCGGACCCCAATCCTAATGTTGTTAATCTGACGTGGCACTGCTCATAAAAAATGCGGTGCTTCTCACAGCGTGAAAGTAAAAGGAAAGGGGCTGCACCGGTTTTCCTTAGGTCAAGAATATACACTCGAATTTGGCGGGTAAGAGCGGTGCGCATTGACAAGGCACAGGCGGCTGGCGGTGGCCCCACCGTCCTACGATCGAGTGTCCGTCCAGACACGTGTGTTGCTATCTGAGTCATACGAATGAGGAGATTGGTATTGTGGTTGCCACTTGAACCGTCCTAGTGATACAAGGTAAGCGTAGACCACGCAAAAATATATTGCTCGCATTTAAAACTTTAGTCTTGTTCGTCACCACTTAATTGTTTTGTTTTTGAGTTCAATAATATATAAAACGTGCCCCTCGTTGCTTGCTGTAGTATTCAAGATACTGGTCACAACAGCAATCAGCCAAGTATATTTTACAATTTGTCATTAATAACCTGTTAAGAGTAGCCGGATATGACGCAGTTACGAATAATATACCAATGTCCAACAGAAACTGCTTTACGATTTAATGAAGTATTTTTTGCTTCAGCGTATTCTTTATATACAACAAAACTTCGAAGTGCGTTTTTCTAGACATTCGTTTAGAAATAATTGCTTCATGTATTGTTTCATTTTGCCTGAAGTAAACACTAGCTGCCCACGATTCTGTGCGGGAACGGGCACTGAACAATGTCAGGCAGGCTAAAGTAAATTTGCTAAAGGATGAACGGTAAGCTCATATACATTACCGCCTCTCTGCTTGTGTTCAGCCTGATTTGTTCTTTGTGCGCACATTGCGATTTTTTTTTTGAATAACAAATTACGCAGCTATTTTTTTATGTATCCCACAGGAAGTTTTTTGCTAGATTCGAGTACGCACCTATGGTTCGTCGTCCACGACGCTGCATCGGTTTTACTTTGCCGATGCTGTCATCGTTTTACGTGTTAAAACAACTCAAAGTACGCATGGAGCAAGTGGGGCGCGTACTTGCATATTTACTTTGCCAATCCGCATGTCTTATGGAACATTTTCTTCACATTAGTAGGCTCCCCTGTTAGCCCTTCAGATGCTCATATACTCTTGCACAAATTCTGGGTAGTGACTGTCAGCCATGAGCTCTCGTTCTATCGAGAGGTCAGCGAATATTATTATTTTGTATTCTGCATATTGTAACGTATAATATGAAAACATTAAGCTCGCAATGATGGCTTGTGACTGTACACCGATACTATTCGACCATAACATTTTTTTTTTCTGTTTGCAACCACAGAGCTCTCTTCGGAAAATGAAAAGGTCAAGTTCGTAAAAGATTGGCAAGTTCTTTTCTTCGGATCCTAAAGGCGTGTTTACACTAGAGCGACACGACCCCGACACGAGCCCGACGAAGACACAAGGCAGACGCAAACCATCGGTCGACGAGTCGCCCACCGACGAAGGCGCCAGACCCCTGGTCACACTATGCCGACGACGACGACGACGCCTCAAGAGAGAGCATGTCGTCGTAGTGTAACATGATGAGAGACCGAAAACCACAGCAAAACGCATCCGCAGACCTGTCGTCGGCATGTCGTCGGGAGATTGGCGGCTGAGCGAAAATACGCTCCATGTCTTTGCTTCAAACGATCACGAAGGGGGTAATGTTGGAGGAGTTGAGACAGGGTCTCCGGTCCTCCTTGGGGGTGACCTAAGCCCAGGCCACGAATTTGCTGGAGTTATTAATA